GAACACAAATTAGTTTGCATAAATCAGTTAAATGACGAAAAATATACATTCAGTGTAAATATAAAATAGATCTCAATGCCAGAAGTGATGGACGTTTGAAATGTATTGCCATCTGTTGAATTATTTTTGGTATTCAACATTCAGAGAGTTAGAAAAACGTCTATGGTATGTGGAACAACCATTTCTTTATCATAAAACAAAATTTTGTATAAAAGTACACTCCTCACAACAAGAACACGACTTTCACTAGGACTGTACGTGAGAGTTTGATTATATTTTTATTGATGTAATTTTTAAATGTAGTACTAAAAAACTAGAGTTCTTAAAAATATTATTTTTTCAATAAAGCGTAACACTTTTAATATACAAAAAAATTACAGTTTATATTAGTAACATCTGTGAACATTTGTGTAAGGCTAAAGAGCACAATCCGAACACTTTTCCCCTACAGTACTTTCGAGAAAAAAATCAATTTTTTAGAAACTTTTCATTCTTTTTACAGTTTCTTACAATGGTGTATAAATACTAATTTTACTAATTACTAGCATAAACAGCCGCCATTGGGACGGTATTTTTACTAGTGATTACTAAAGATTTGCCAAATTTGGTTAAAACTAACTATATTAAAAGTTATATCATCTACAGTTTCATCGGTACATGGGTCCCCAAGTGGCATAGTTATAACGCTAGAAACCGAGATTCGATAACCGTGGTGGACAGAGCACAGATACCCTGTTGCATAGCTTTGTGCTTAACTACAAACAAACTCTTAGAAATTCATTATTTTTTATTAAATGTATGTACCTTAGATTAACTTTGGAATTTTAAGTGAGATCCTTTTCTTCTGATAATTGGGTCCCTTTTGGTTTCTTTTCTATAAATTCAAAATGAAATAACGACCACTGACCAGTGCTTCTAAGTGCCTTTTCCTTGTTCATTACAGATTTTCCAGCTGGTTGGGAGCCGATAAGGATGGAAAACAAATCTTTAAGGCCTCGACATGTTGAGCATCACGAGATTTTTACTGAAGTTTCAATGAATGAAGACAGTTTGGACATTTCGTCAACGTATCAAGACAGCACATCTAAGGAAAACAATAGTAAGGTTCATAAAATTCCTTTTATAGGGGTTTTTTGCGCTCTATTTTCAGGAATATTTTTTGCCACTGCATCATTTATTGTTGCCTTTGTAACCAATGTGGATCCTATTGAGATTTTGGTTATTCGAAGCTGCACTCAGCTTATGTCGTACGTACCAGTCGTTATCTATAACAGAAATTCATTTTTAGGAGTTGAAGGAGAGAGATTGTTTGTTTGCATGCGAGCTGTGATAGGGACAGTTTCCATGGGAACAGGTTACTACTCTTTCAGACTGATTCCATTGGCAGATGCTTCGACTATAATTTTCAGTAGTCCTGCATTTGTGACTCTTTTTGCCTGCGTTTTGTTGAGAGAACCATGTGGAATGTTTCAAGTATTCACAATTATTATTACTTTAACAGGTGTAGTGCTCATATCTAAGCCGACTTTTTTATTTGGTGTTTCTTCGACAGACCAAGCTAGTTCAGCACATCGCCTTCACGGTTCTCTAATGGCGTTTTGCTCGTGTATAGCGGCAGCATTGACCTTCATATCCTTGCGAAAGTTACAGAAAACCTCAACTCCCGTAGTGATATGCATCTTTTCAATAGTATCCATTACTTCTGGTTTGATTTATCTCTCCTTCTTCAGTAAATTTAGTATTCCTACTTGTGGAGAAGATGGCGTGCTCCTGATTCTTTGTGGACTCTGTGGAACATGTGGACAGTTTTTACTTACTACGGCGCTGAAATTAGAAGAAGCTGGACCTGTGTCTGTAGCGAGGACAGTAGATGTTGTTTTGGCTTTCATTTTTGGAGTATCCTTCCTTAACCAGTATCCATCTTGGACTAGTATCGTGGGTGCTTTCCTTGTTTGTTCCTCTGTCGTAATAACAGCCATAAAGAAATGGATGTACAGACATAAATCACAGAATGTTTCATTAAGTGAAAGAAAAACGCTCACTGGTAAAAACTGTTCGTCTTACAACACTTTTTCATCTTCTAAGTAGAAGTAAAAATGAACTTTAATGGATTGATAAATGTGAAATACTGTTCGTAAAGTATTTTAGTACATGAACAGTTAAAACATTTATAATTAAATGTGGATGATGCACTCTTTATATTGAATTGTTAAAATTGTTAAAACACTGAATATAATCATGTACAGCTTGAAATAGATTATAGATCCTTCTAAAGCAAAACAAAAATTAGAATATAAAGTGATAATGTTACCAGTGTTTTTTCTTTACTGTTGTTTGTATTATTTGAATGTATTTTTTTATCGTTAATACCGCATAATATTTGTGCTCACTGTGTGAAACTTAACCAACAGGTATTTATCTGTTTCATTGATTTTGAGAAATAAATTAATTTTGCAAAGAATGATCGGAGTTGACTGGAAAAATAGAAGGGTGATTGGAAAGGGGTCAGACAGCAACAGTGAAAATAGACCAATGTATATGAGATGATGCAATAATCGGAAGAGGTGTAAGGCTGGGTTGCATATTATCACCAATAATTGTTAATGTCTATATAGAGGAATGGTAAAATCTGACCGAAGGAATAATGATAAGAGGACAAATGGTGAGATCTTACAGATGACAATGTAGTGATGACTATTACAGAAGAAGGGCTACAATTTTTAGTTACGAAACAAAGAATCGGCAAAAGATTTTTACAATGGAAATAAACATGATAAAGTGATGAGGATGTAAAGGAAAGAAGGTAGGAAGCAAAACATTACTGTGAAAGATAAAAAGTTGGGAGAGATGAAAGAGTTTTGTTACATAGGTAACAGTATCACATCAGGTGGTTGGTTTTATAGATAAATAAGAACCAAAATTGGAATGGATAAAGAAAGGAAAAGGAAATTGAAGAACAGAATAATGAGTTACATCTGGAGTGTGGCAACGTATGTGAGCTAGATGTGAACAATGCTTAAGGGAGACGTACAGAGACTGGGATGTTTGTACTGAAAGAAAAATTTAAAGGTTCTACATCAGATGGGAGAAGAACGTTGACTTGTCCTATCAGTCATGAAGAGGGAAAAAATCTGTATTGGGCAGGTGTTGAGAGGGAATGACCTAAATAAATGTGTAAGTAAACAGTTTTATAAGTTGTATTTACAATCTCGTTTCATTTATTCATCACAACACTTAGAGTTAAACAACATCAAGAGTTGCTCTGCGCATTGAGGAAAGATACACGTAAACAGATTAAAGGCAATGGGCAAGGAGGATTATGGCAAGCGTTAGGGTCGCTGGTCTGAATATTGTTATAAAACATGTTCGACCCATGAGCTATTGATGTGTTATGATGTGACGGGCAATCCAACCATTCTTTGATAAAGTGTAAACAGAAAGTTGTCGGAGGGAGGTTTTGACTACTTGCCTCCCTCTTAATCTATTATTTCCAAATTAGTGACGGCTAGCACACATGGATATTATTTGTTGTAAAGTCGTAGTAGCAGGCACCAAGAAATGGATACAGTGTTTCTTATAACACTTTCTCACCCCTAAATCAAATTAAACAAGAATTTTAAAGAACTTTATAAATGTGAAATATTGTTCGTAAACTCTTTACTCATGAAATACAACAAAATATTGATGATATAATAATTAGATGTGGATAACACGCACTTATGTTGAAACTTGAAACGTATAATTCTACGAATTAAAACTGTAATAAAATTACCAGGATTCCCTCTTTACTATCGTATTTTATAAAGCCTGTTGTTTGTATTATTCTAATATATTCTTCATCATTAGTTCGTAGTATTTGCATCCAATCTCTGCAAATATACTATTAAAAGTTGCAGTCAAGCCGAATACTGGGTTTCAGTGTTCAAATATTAAACACATTACCTATAACTTTTAGTAGAACAATTATGTGTACGGACTTGCTACGCTAGAAACTGGGTTTCGATACCCGTGGTGTGCATAACTTTGTGCTTAACTTCAAACAAATCAAATATTATTTTTTTATTTGGATCCAATGGAACCATCTCACCAGAGATCAAAGTATCCCGTCAAGTATTGTAAAATTTGATGGTGGGAGATCGGGTAACCTGTGATATTATAGGCGTTAGTTCTGTAGAGTGCTAGCAGAGGGAGGAGGTGCACAGATCGCCAGTAAAGGTGGGAAAAACGCATATTTTGGAGCAAAAAAAAAAAGGTTTGTAGAGTTTACATGCAATTGTTATTGAAATGTGTAACTTGCATAGAAAATGAGGGATAGCAAATAAATATTTCGTCAGTTATCGTAGTAATAAACACAACCTAAACTTATTCAGTGTGATTTAATATGTGAAGCCCACCGATAATGAAGGGTATAAAAAAAAATATGGGGTTCACTACTTCAATAAACCTTTCTGTATGATTAAGTGAGTTTATAGAAAAGAAATCAAGTACAGTGTTACTGTTTTAATATCTCGCAGCCCTCTGGTTTAGATTATTGACTAGAGTATATGTGTCACTGTTTTAATAGCTTACAGCCCAGTCATTTTGACTAATGATTAGAACGTACCTTCCACAAAGTCTTATATTTCAGTGCGTGTAATTTAAAAAATATATGCTGTTACACATGAGCTTTTTTTTCGAATCTTCCAAGTCCCTGGGATCATTCATGGGTGGTACCTAAATCGGTTACAAAATATAAGTTATAAACACAAGAACTTAGGATATTGGACAGATCTTCAATAAACACTTATTTCAGTTTTGCCATTTTCTCTATCTATCTCGTATTTTAACGTGGCCGTTGCGTGTTTAACACGAATGTGATTCAAACGTGGTCTATATGATATGTGACATTGTCCAAACATAAAGATGTTGCTTGAGGTAGCTAATTTAATGTGTAATAAGCATTAGCGATACATATTTTGTTCTAGTTTTACTACCTTCCTCATATACTCATGAATGTCGTGGCTACATTTTCGACTGCCGATAAAGGTAACGTTTCTCTAAAAGTTACGTCAACAGAAGCCAATGGAATTCAAGAGTTCAAGAGAAGTGTCTTCCTTTTGTTAAAAGACATCAACAGTGTTTTATGTTCCAGAAGTGTTTAAAATTTGTGAATAATATCTATGTCTTTTAAAGACCTACAAAGAACATTTTTTTATTAGAGCTGAAGGTTTCTGGGCCATAAAAATCAAAGACACATAAATAACTGTGTCACTTTAAAAATCAAAGAGACACCATATAAGTAACTATGTCACTTTAACAGTGTTGTTTTCTGAGGTTCACTGGACTTCCTTCAAATAACCATAGTTGGATCCACGACGTAACTGGATGGATGTTCTACAGAGCATTTTTTTGGTATTGACTGAGTTTAAGAAAAAAGAGATTTCACTCAATTTAAAACAGAATTGAAAAAACTTATTTAATGCAAAATCCAATCAAAAAGGTGTTAATGGAAAACCAGTTTTACTGGATCTTTCCAAAATATGTAACAGTTTAAAACTTCTTGTATATCTCTTCCAGACTGAATATACATAGCGCTATATACACTGTTTTATAATGCTATTATTCTCAGGGAATGAACATTACTAATATTATCAATGTTGGTCATTCCAATTTAAAAATGAAATGCATCATCTAAGTATCATTTGCTCCACACGGGAGAGATCGCTTCCCACCTGTACGTAATAAGAAAGTACACGTGATACCATAGATGAATGACCCAAGTAATAGGAAACTAGACTGAGGAAATGTAGCCCTTTTCTCGACGAATGCTATTCTTCAGAGCTACATACACCTGTATGCAGAAACATTTATACAAATTCGGGTGAACTTTAAGGGACCACTGAATAAAGGAGGCAGAAAACATCTAGTATGACTACATACCACAACATTTATGTTAATGTGATGATTTTTCTATATATAATTGCAAAACATACTTTCACTGTAAATTAGCATTTCATGTATTTAAAATATTTAATTTGCTGTACGAAAAGATAAGCCCTCACCAACAAATCGTTCCCTGCCAGTTTTACAGAAATTCCAAATTTTGCATTGTATGTCGTTCTCTTACTTAAAACATGTATTTAGTAGACTTATCTCGTGCATTGTTCTGTTAAGATGGTTAAAATCCCCCAGTGGACTTGTACTGCTAAAAACCGGGTTTCGATACCCATGGTGGGCAGAGCACAGATAGCCCTTTGTGTAGCTTTGTGCTTAAGAACAGACAACAACAAGATGGTTAAAATATCAAATGTATTTTATGTGGTATCATTTCTTAATTTTTTGTTAATTATACCATGCTTACATTTACGCGCTTTTTCTGTGTCATTTATTTGAGCTTTGTCTTGATTTTTCTAAATATATAATGCTGACTCCTATGTCCTGTTCAGATTAATAGAGTAATACTATTTTCACAGTGAGTTAATATGACTGACACTGGATGGCGCTGACACTTTCACACTGCTATCTGTCAGTTGTGTCACTACTTAAATAAGACGAGGTGTAATCTCATAAACTGGCGGGAAAATAAAGTATAAAAGTGAAGAGAATGTACGACTGATATAAGAAACATTTCAAAACCTAGAGCCTACAGTGGATAGTGAGAAGTGTTGCGAAAAATAATTAATTACATTTTGCTAGTTTTTTTTACTAAGAAACAAGTTCGTGATTAATGTGGAAGTTATATCGTTATCGTAGTTTTCTTTCTGGTCATGTTTATATTTTTTTCAACTTCTGTCGAGATTATATTATAGCTAGAATTTTAATGAAATTTGGAGATGGTGTTTTTTAAATGTCCAGGTCCGGCACTTTTAATTGGAAGTGTAATCTTTTATTTGTGAAAGTTCTATTAAAGATGCTGTTTTTTTGTCGTTGTTGTTGTATTAAAAATGATTTATAACATGCTATTGCATTTTTGGTTTTTTTTCCTCAAAAAGGGGGGGGGGGAATGAAGAAAAATTCTGAAAAAGATAACTTTTTTATTTTTATAGACATTTTCCTTTCAATTTAGAAATAAGTACTTAATCAGTTAAATGGGTGTCTAACTTCATATGCGATTAACGTTTAATGAGATTTAATTACTAAAGATGGAGGCGGGAATATTATCTAACATAGTCTGTTGTTTACACAATTATTCTTTCTTTTTTAAACATCCTGAAATTATATCTTAAATTATTCTTAAAGTAGAAGTTACGAAAAGGTTGTACACTGTTTAGGACCTCTAGAAATAACAAACACAGACCTGCGATGGTTTTTATTGTCTTGAAATTTTTATATTTTTATACAGTAATCCCTGTACGCTGAATCGGAAAGTGATATCCATTTTTCTCTACCACGTACAGATTTTTCACAAAACGTCATTTGTACTTTTACATAAGTGAATAATTTTCATTGACATCGGGGTCACATTTTGTTATGTTTAAAATGTTGATAATCACTGGCTATAGATTTCTCTAGACCAATCGCGACGTGAGAGTCTTATCGGTCCTTCTTGAACCCACGAGAAACACACGGCTAGTATATAAACGGTTAACAGGCCGCATGACGTGTCATTTCTGGATAGTATTTGTTTGTGCTTGCACTTTGACATTATTTTTTTGCTTTTCAATATTATTTATTTGTCGCTATGGCAACAAGAGATTGTATAAATGACCCAAACGTATTCTGTTATATTTGTGGTAAATGTGTTGTAAAGAAACAAGGCAAAACATTACAGAATTCGTCAAAAAAGCGTATTAACCATGGTGATGACTGCTATTTTTGCTCTTGTAACGTGCAAGGCTACAACACTAAAGGAAGTAGAAGTAAAATGTTTTATCTGAACCTTTAATCTGCTATAAGACCTGTTGCTCACGGACCTGATGTACCTGTACCTACTCCACCGAAGACTCTTGATACAGTTTCATCTCATTCTGAATCTGATGTTAATAGAAATGATGATAGGTATTGTTTTCAACCTGAAATGTCTGGCGAACCACAACTTTTCACACAAGGTGAACGTAATGATTTGGGCCTTCCAAAGGATTCTTTAGAGATTTTTGGTCCAGACTTCAAACTAAGAACTTACTTTCTCCAGGGTATCTCATTTTACTGGTACAGAAATCATGAGAAAGAGTTTATACCATACTTTTCGCAAGAAGGTTCACTGGTTTATTGTAACAATATTGCTCAATCAATACCAATGCTAGGAGCTTCAGTCTCTGAACCAAGTGAGCGGAGCTTGTTCGTTGATTCCTCCAAAAGAAGTCTAAAAGGTGTTCACCTTCACAATGGTAACATATATGCATCTGTTCCTATTGCTCATTCAGCTCACTAGAAGGAAATGTACGAAAATCTTGAACTTCTTAATAAGGTCAAATACAAAGAACATGGTTGGTTACTTTATGGAGACTTAAAAGTCTTCTGTATGTTGTTGGGTGAATCAACAATCCGGTTATACAAAGTTTTCACGTTTTTTGTGTGTGCATGGAACAATAGAGCACGAAATCAGCATTGGATAAAGAAGCAATGGCCATGCAGTGTGAGCCTGATTCC